TCCCGAATAAACACGTTTTATTTATGTTAGTGTCACCCACACTATTGGCTAATTATCTCTACACATCCGCATGGGATGTAACAGCTAATTAGACTTGGTACATGTAACATACAATTTACATATGCGCCCTATCATATTTTATATGTATCATATTATCTACACATATAGACGCAACATGCTACATTATCATATGTAGTAATTAATATAAATCCACAGGCCTCGCTACCCACTCGCCAATTCCGCCAATGGCCGAACAATTAGTAATTCTGGCGATTTTGAAAGGTCTTATTTGTGGAAAAAGTGCACGAACGTAAATTTTCCCGGTAATAATAACATGACCGCAGCAAGCATCGGCCCCATCGATCCTATTTTGCATCGTCGAAACCAGCAACGTTTCTTTTTTGCGCTTGCCGGGGGCACACTTCCTGTGTCATTCCTGATTGCCAGCTTTTTCCTCGGATTCCGGGAAGTTTTGCTGGTCGCTCCCTCATACCAGCGCGGTGCCCACCCTACATATTACGCAATAACCACACCCACTGCGACTGTAACAATCAGTGACATTCGCGTCCCCAGCCGCCCCGTACTTTCAATCAATGCTGCCCCAAGCCAGCAAGCACGAGCCACGATGTGCACAGCACGGACGTGGGTACAGGGGTGTCACGGGCTGCCCTTTTTTCGTTTTTTTTTCTTTTGGCCGTGAATGGTGAAAGAATGCGTAGGGCATGCGGTTACTGAGCGCGGAGAATGGTCCAGATGCGTGAGTCTCCCACGAAGATGACAGATGGCGTGAGACTTAGTAGTGATCTGCTAACAGAGTAACGATTTAGCTTAAAAGTGGAATTTTATTTAAACGGTCACGGTGCATCAAAATGCAGTCTAAGACATTCAAATGTTTTAAATTTTGCGGGGGAGGACTCCCCAGAAACCCCTCTACTCTCTCCCCGCGATCTGCCTGCCAGAATCCACATTCGCTGACCTACTGCACGCCTTTTGGAATTCATTTCTATGTGCGTTTTTCCCAAACTGGGCAATTACCACTGAGTTGTCTAATTTTCCCTCGAAGAAACCCTGGTGTTTTAAAAAACGGGCCTGTCTCCACACACGGCACGGACCGGCAACGGCGCTGGCAAAAGTCAAATGGTTTTTTCTTAGGGCGTCTGCGTGCACGTCGTGTGTATGTTGCGCCGCTGTGCGTGCGTGCATGTGTATGCGTGTAGTGTGTTTGTGTGTATCTGTGTGTGGGTACTGCTAAACAAGTAGTAAAAACTGATAAAGTACTACTGGGCGAATATTAGTCAGCTCTGATGGCGCAGCTAATTTTTCTGATTCAATAGCATCGGAAGTTACAAACAGTAGTAGAGTATATGCATGTGGCTATTTGTGCGTGAAACTCTCCGTAAACTATTAGTATTACTGTTAAATAACTATAGTGTGTGTATAGTACTGTCTATAACTGTACTGCGTGCGTGCGTACGTCGCGGTGCGTTGCGCCGTGCGTGCCGTTGCATATTTGCTGCGATCAGGTACTGTAAAAGTAAGCTGTCTGTGACCCTACCACTCCCACAACAGTTGATGTTACTGAGAGCGGCGTGTTTAGCAGGACATAATTTTGGTTTAAAAACAGCTCTGAGAAATAACCTGAAAACAGGAAAGTGTTTGCTGACATTTCCTAACCAAAATTCAAAATTGAAGGCCTTGATAGGCCCCTGGAGAAGGAGATGTTTGACTTTGAAACAGTGCTATGTCCAGTGGTGTGCCAAAGATAGCGAGATTTTTACTGCAGCAGTGAAGAAAAAAAATTTCAGACCGTCAATTTGATATGTCTTGTCATGTCAGAGTCAATGGTGCGTGAATCATTTAGTGTTTAGTGCTCAGTCATAGACATGTGGTGAATAATAGTTTGTTTGCATTAAATAAGTTGTAGTTTTGTACTTCATGCATATAAAAGTTTGTGAAAAAAAAAAAAAAAAAAATGTAAAGAAAAGAAAAATTATTTATCGTCTTTTTGTGCAGAAAAGTTAGGCTACAATGTGGCCTAACAGGATCCAAATTGGCTATCATGAAATGCATTCTGGCTTAATTGTTTGGCTACAGGGAAAAAAAATCCTACCTAGGGGCCCTGTAAATGCTATATACAAATATCATACTTGCACAGCGCTAATTATGGCTTCAGCATGACATAATACTGCATATAGTTGGCGTCCAGAACCTTCAATGCCGTACCATTCTCTGGTAATGTTTGAACGATTGATTTGACCTTCTATGGACGTTATTTTATAAAAAATAGAAAACCCGGCCTCCAAAAAATGCTGGCATTTTTTGCTAGGGCGGCAAATCCAAATTGCTGCCGACGCCGATTTTTAAAAAATCAAACTTTTTGAACCAGAGCAGCTAGAATCAAGTATTAAATACACTTTTTTTAAACTAAATCAACACGAGGATTCCAGATTCTGACATTCAATTTGATGATAAAACATCATTTTGACCAAACTATCCAAGACGACCCCAGCACCATCTTGAAAAAATTTGAACTTTTCAAACCAGGGGCACCTAGAATTCGCAGCTATAAATTACACTTTGCTCCACTAAATCAACCATGAGGAATCCGGCAATCTGACATCACTTTTACGTTTTAATATCATTTGTTGACAAGATATCCAGTGGGCTTACCATACGCCTGTGAGTGTAACGTAACAACACAAACTAATTACTATAACATAATCTATTTTTTAATAGTTTGTTAACGGTTTATCAAATGAAGTTATGTATAAACTGTATAAACAATACTGAACATAATAACTTCATATTTCACCATCACTAGCATATATTAAACCATGTAAACGTCACCAGATAGGCAATACAATAATGTTTAGTAACTTAGTATTGTGAATCAAAGAGGTAAGATCAATCTGAATCGAGTTTTCTAGCCACACTTATGTTCGCGAAGCCTTCAGATTCTGACAATTCTTGTACTCCCTCATCGATGAGAATCGTTCTCATCGGTCTTCGCTGTCTTCAGCTTGGTTCCTGTGTGCAGGTAAGTTGCACTGGCGAGAGCAGGTCGTGTGTGCGAACAGGGCGACAAGCGACCACACACAACTCCCAGCCATGACCGAGGTGGCAGAAGCGGGTGGTTTTCAGGGAATAGTGCCGCGCACTGAGTACGCCAGGTAGTTGGCTGCGGAGACAGTTGTTGTCGGAGACTATCCTCATCTGGAGGAAGACGTATAAAGGATTGTCTTTTTCATACTCTCATTCCCTTCACAAGCGCGAGCCTCAGCCATGGAGTACTCTTTTGTCGCATAGACGACATCTGCGTGTGAAGTGGAAGAGTTCTTCTATCACCGTTCCTCCTCCATGGCAAGATCATACTCCGCACAGTAGAGAGCTGCCATCGCGCCACAGGGGCTCTTCGCCATCTGGGCAATACAGGACATCTTAACCCTTGCTCGTTAGAAGCCTGATGTTTTGCATCACACCTGTCATGCAGTGCATGCGCACAAGACAATCTGCCATCTCGTCAGTCACCAGGCCATGACAGGAGACCGATACTCCTATTCTCTTGATACAAATGGATACGGGCAGCTGCTGCGAGATTACTGCTGCTGAGACATATGCATTCGGTAGATCAAGCTGCCCATCAATAACAACAGGGTCATTGCAACCTGACTCGCGCAGAAGTGCGATAAGTGGAGTAATAGTATTAGTGTCCAGCCTCAGACTGATCAAAGCTGTAGTTTCTGCATTGCGTGTTGGCGTTGACAGTTAGTGCAGTGGGAGCCAACATGAGTAGACAATCTCATGGTTAGCCACCGGTCGCGCCTCGTTATACGCCATCACGACCGCTCTCAACCGAATGCAGGCCACGTCTTGGTTCAACAGTCTGTGCAAAGTCGGTCCTATCACTTGGTTCAGGTAGCTGCATATCATGCTTGTAGCCGGCCTGCTTGCTTGCTACTGCTACAAAGCAGCGTCTGAATGCTCAGGACAAGAGGGAAAAGGATCGCCCAATTTCATGTTAAGTGTGGGACATGTGCGCTTACCCTGCACCCTCAGGGCTCTCGCTCGTCATCTTTAGTTGAGTATGCTGCTGTCATACTGGTCGTTCACACAGATGATACGTTTAGCCTCATCCATGTCGCGAAAGGATATGGATGGCCAGCTTTGTGGACATAGTCCGACCACTTGTATGTTGTACCATCATGGGTTTGTCGGTCTTCTGCTGATGGGATGTCGCCCATTTCTCCAGAATCATTCCAATGTCGACGATAGCGATG